GACAGAGAGTAAGAGAGAGACAGACGGCAAGAGAGAAGGAGACAGAAATGGCTTTAGACGAGACGACCGTCGACATGTCCGTTAACAAATCTGTTCCATCTCTACTTCTCTGTCTATGTCCCTGGTCATGTTTCCAAATTTGGTAGAACCCCAACGATATATTCACGCACGCACGCACGCACGCACGCACGCACGCACGCACACACACACACACACACACACATCTAATTAGAGTGTTTCTAAACTCTGTGATGAGATTCAGCACTTACTGAGTGTGATTGTGTGTGGGTGTCCTCTCTCAAGGACACATATTGTTTATAGCTTTTGTAATTCAGTCTTTCTCATTGTCTCGTGTTTATTAGTTGGAGACAATGCTACTTTAACAGCAGCACTTTTCCATTGATGGAGAAATGTGACATTAAAAAGCCAGCTGGTGTGTAAACTCTCTATCACACACGTTTCAGACACGCAGCCTAATGAAACGGCCCAATCTCTCTGGCACAGAGGGGAGCGGAGGATCGTGGGAATAAGTCTGGAACAAAAGCCTGTTTTGTTGTTAACGAGACTCAGTGTTCATCCCAGCTCACACTGCAGCTAACGTGTTAGCCACCAGCATGTTGTTCGTCTGTCCACAGTCGGAGCAGGTCTGACTGTGGACAGACACACACACTACTCCAACTGTTGCCGTGGAGAAAGGCTTGCTCGGGTGCAGCATAGCATGTGTTGTGGGGGTGTTTCCTGCTGCGCTCAGATTTTTCAGTTACGACTTTGTTCATTAGATTTAAAGGGCACCTATTACACAAAATCCACTTTGTCCTGTGTCCCCTCTGTGTAAAGAGATTCTGAAAGTTTCAGGAACACAGAGCCTCTCTCTTGATCCATTTATATAAAGACCTGTCTGAAAATCTGATTTTGGCCACTTTGTGATGTCACAATGTTTTATGGGTTGTGCAACGATTAGCCAATAACCAACCAAGGTAACCCCCCCCCCCCCACCTTATCACCTGAATCTCCTCCTAGAGCACCATTGTGTTTTTTTTTATCCAATCACTTCTCAGAGGGGCGTGGCCAGTGACTTTTTCTGAGTTAGTCAAAGATAATGCCAATATTTTTGACTGCAGATCTCGAGGCCATCAAGAGTAATTAAGTCATTTGATACTTCATTCAGAATGTGTTGGTGGCCAAGTGCTGTATAATAACTATGGTTTTGTCAGTGTTTAATAATAGAAGTTGAAGATGCATTTAATGACAAGCTAGCCTCTCTCTGTTGAGTGAGCTTAGACTGTAAATGTGTGTCTGCTGGTGGAGTTAAGAACAGAAGGAAGTAGCAATGAGACAAATAATGTGTATTCTGTGTCTCTGTCAGGGTGAGACTCCGAAGAACCGGGCTGAGAAAGCTCAGGACTCTGAACTGGCCGCCTACCTGGAGAACAGACAGCACTACCAGATGATCCAGAGAGAGGACCAGGAGACGGCCGTCTGACGGACCCTTTATGAGCAGGATGAAGACACTTCCTCATGAGACTGACAGCCGCTCGCTGATGGCGGGATACCATTCTGCTTTCCAGGAAATGACTCGTCAGCAGACTGCGAGGGAAGCTGTGCCAAACGCGATCGCAGCGGGGTGATGCAGGTAACCAGAGGAGATGTAAATGAAGTCATTCCTTTTCATTTTGAGACGCTCAGTAATCAAAAGGGTTTGTGAAGTCGAGAAAAAAAGAGACCATTTTCCTGACTCAGTGATTCAATTTGAAAGACTCGTTCTTTATAGTTCTTTCATATCAAACACATTCAAAAGACTCCTTCCTGAAACCAGAAGTGATCATCTGCCATATGTGAGTCATAGTGTGGAGTTCTGAGGAGTGGGTGAGGTGATGTCATGGTGGAACTCAGGAAATGTCATTTATTCCTCACAACCATGGAGGCTGCATCACATTCCTGACCAAAAGGAAGGTGAGATTCTGAAATATCCCGGGTGTAGTGAATGTGGAGCCAGATGAAAGTGAATTAAACATGTTGAGTGTTGTCCCGGTGGTTAAAGGGCCAAAGACAAAGGTCAAGGGGTCAAAACACTTCATAGAAATCCGATCACTGGCTTTTGAAATACCTTGCCGTGGACCAAAGATGTGTGCATGATGGCGTTCAGCTCAGAGCCAATCAGAATGCTTCGTGAACATCAGGTTTCATGATTCACTCACACCCTGACGCTGAGCTCCATCATGGCTGATAAACAAAGCTGTGTGATTATTCCTTACCTTGTGAACCTGCTTACCTTACCCGCATGACCTTTTTAATATATTGTACATATATGATGTTGACTTATCTCAACTTCTAATAGAGATAACTATTATTTATAATAATCAATGTCATGTTTTTTTGGTGCCTGTGCTGAAGAATTTGATATCTGAGAATGTCAAATGACATCAAGTGTGTGTGTGATTAAAAGGAAAACATATATTGTTAATGTATATTAAGATCGTTGTATTAGAATCAGATCATTTTGATTATTCCACGTGCCAAACTTCAACGCTTGTTTACATAAAGATCATTGACATTTGAAATAGTGATGAGTTCAACACTGTCAGGATCGTGGGATTTTTGGACATCCTAACTTTGTGTGTAATAAGGTTGTTAAAGATTTTGTGATCACTTAATAGAATAAACTCTGGAATAAAAAGCAAACAAAAATATCTAGTTTACGGAAGAGGATTAGGGCAACACCTGCCCAAAAGTAAAACATGTTATTGAGGTATGACCTTAATCTCAGGATTCTGAGGAAAAAAAATAGCCTTTTTTTGTCTTCTTTTTCTTCAGAATCCCACATCCCAACATTTCTGCCCCTGGCCCTAATCCTCTCCCGTACTAGTTGAGCTGTTTTGTTCGGCCTATGAGTTTTAGCATTGACATGTGTCTTCAGATTAGTTTAGCATTGGCTCTTGCTTGTACTGCTAGCATTGATGTTTAGCAGCTTTTATGTTATTAACAACTGTGGCCAATCCAGTTTACTGTATCTCTCATGTTTATAGCAGTTTTTGTTAAACACATTGGTGTAATTGTTAAAAAATATAATTTTCTAATTTTTTTTTGAGACGAATATGAAGATAATAAAAGAAGGCAGTTTATTTGAGAAGGACTCGTGTATTTATGTACCTTAACTGTCAGTTGTGATGCTATGAGTTTTAAAAATGTTTCCCACAGCATATTTTGTAAAATATTTTACAATTAACCTTTTTTATTTTTAAATTTCTATGACTTTCTCTTACCTGATATACATATGCTATGTAAGGGACAATGTGCAGCGAGGCGGTCATTATGAGGAAAATAACTACCCGGGGACCTTGATGTGCTGACATGTACTGTACAATTTCTAACACAATACTTTGGGGTACTCAACATTTCCTGGTTCACAACAGGAGCCTGGGGAGACAACATGGAGTCCTGGGGCCTCATTTATAAAGCCTTGCGTAGGATTCACGTGGGAAGGTTGCTTACCTAAGACAAAGCAAATAGATATGCACAGACATTTTCCGATTCATGGAGACAAATCACATTGTTTGTTGGATGCAGTTTTAACCAAAGGAGCAGCATGGAGGTCGGATCGTCACCAAAATAAATAAATAAGTGGTCCGAAAAATGTTAATGACAAAATAAATACACATAACCTTCCTCAGGCAGTGTGTCAGTGTGTTTGTGTCGGGGACAGGCGCGAGAGACCAGGAGGAAAAATGGTTATAAAAAAAAAATTAATAATAATAATATTTTGAAAAATGATTGATTCGAAAATAATATGATACAGTACATTACGTCTGGGTCTCTTTGTTTCATTAAAGCTCGGCTCTGTGTGTGTGTGGAATGAGCCATTTTGTGTGTGTGTGAGAGAGAGAGAGAGAGAGAGAGAGAGAGAGAGAGAGAGAGAGAGAGAGAGAGAGAGAGAGAGAGCGCTAACGGATATAAGGAGTTTTTTCAACAACAAAGTGGAGGAGAGTCGTCTCCTGTCAGACTGAGAGACTCAGTGAGCTAAAGGACTCTCTCAGTGTTCTCTCAGTGTTATCTCAGTGAGTCTCAAACGTTTTGGTCACCATTAATGTAAACAATTATTTCCGAGGCACACGTTTATATGATCATAATAGTTATAAAAAAAATGAGAATAAATGAAAAACAGGTATGAAATACTATAACATTAAAAAAAGAATAAAGTTTAAATGGGTGATTTGTAAAATATCCATAAAGAAAAAGTAAATCTGTTTACATTTCTGTTTCATATGGGTGTTGAGAGATGTATCCATAGATCTTTTCATGTTGCTCTCAAAGTGCACCAGATTGATGCTTTCAACTTCAATATCTTAAAAATAAATCTTCCCGGGGGAGCATGCCCCCGGACCCCCCTAGAGGAGGTTAGGTCCACGGTGTTTGCATGCTTATTTATAC